AGGGTTGCGGGTGGGAGGGAAGTTATGGGGGGAAAAAGCCACTGTAATCAAAAAGCTGTACTTTGGAAATTTATATTTATTAAATAAAAGTTAAAAAAAGAAATGGGCAAAAGAGACTTGAACAGGCCTTTTTCAAGAGAGGAAATTCAAATGGCCAACAGACACTTGAAAACATGCTCAGGATCACTAGCCATCAAGGAAATGCAAATCAAAACCACAATGAGGTTTCACCTCACTCCTGTTAGAATGGCTCTCATACAGAAATCAACAAATAACAAATGTTGGCAAGGGTGTGGGGAAGAAAGTAATCTAATCTACTGTTAGTGGGAATATGAACTGGTGCAGCCACTGTGGAAGACAATATGGAGATACCTCAGAAATCTGAATATAGACCTACCATATGACCCAGCCACCCCACTCCTGGGAATTTACCCAAACCAAAAGTAATCAGCATCTGAAAGAGTTATCTATACCTCCATGTTCATTGCAGCATAATTCACAATAGCTAACATATGGAATCAACCCAGATGTCCATCAACTGTTGACTGGATAAAGAAATTATGGTATATATACAGTATGGAGCACTACTTAGATGTAAAAAAGCCCCCAAATCCTATCTTTTGCAACAAGATGGACACAGCTGGAAACAATTATACTTAGTGAAATAAGCCATTCCCAATTGGACAGATATCATATGTTTTCTCTGATATGAGGTAACTAATAGTGTACCTAAAATGTAATGTACTGGTGCAAAAAGGGCATTTTGGGATTTGATGATTGTTTATAGCCCTTTTCTCTCCCATTGATGAACAGTGTTTTCTTCATACTATCTGTTGAACTCTGTTACTTAAGGTAGGGTTAACTTTACAATCATTGAGTAAACTGAAAACAGATTTTTGTAAAAATTGAGTGGGAATGGGAATGTAAAAATTACAAGAAGGAGGAGGAAGGACAGTGGCAGCATGGGTGAGAGGGAGGGTGGGGAGGAGTATCACAATGTTCCTAAATTGATATATATGAAATATATGACACTTGTATAACATAAATACAATTTTAAAAAGAAAAAATCTACTAAAAGAGCAAGGGAAATGTTTAAGTATTTCAAGAGATAGAAGAAGAGAGACAGATAGACACTGGCGGATCTTGGCTCTAAAGAGTGAAGCAGAAGGCTGGCGCCGCGGCTCACTGGGCTAATCCTCCACCTTGCGGCGAGGGCAAACCGGGTTCTAGTCCTAGTCGGGGTGCTGGATTCTGTCCTGGTTGCCTCTCTTCCAGGCCAGCTCTCTGCTGTGGCCAGGGAGTGCAGTGGAGGATGGCCCAAGTACTTGGGCCCCGCACCCCATGGGAGACCAGGAGAAGCACCTGGCTCCTGCCATTGGATCAGCGCGGTGCACCGGCTGCAGCACACTGGCCGTGGCGGCCATTGGAGGGTGAACCAACAGCAAAGGAAGACCTTTCTCTCTGTCTCTCTCTCTCTCATTGTCCACTCTGCCTGTTAAAAAAAAAAAAAAGTGAAGCAGAAATTAAAGCATTAAGATAAAAGGCAGGCATTTGGCTTAATGGGAAACATCCTGGTCGTGATGCCCACATTTCATATCAAAGTACCTGGGTTTGATTTCCAGTTCTGCTCCAAATCCTAGCTTTCTGCCCACATAGATCCTGGGAAACTGCATGCAACAACTGACTTCCTGCCACCCGGGTGGGAGCCTTGGATTGAGTTCCTTCCTCTCTGTATTTAAAGAGAAGGACACCGTTTCTCCATCTGTGTGTCTGTCACCTGTCTCTATCTCTCTGCATCTCAAGTAAATACTTTTTTTAAAATATCAGGATTATAGTAACAGAGTATTAGGTGATATAGACTGATGGCACGAGATGGGCATGAAGATAGGAAAGAATCTGGTGAATAATTTGGAAGCAGCAAAGAGAAATAAGACAAATGCTTATCTTGCCTCTAGATAGTTTCATGAGACTAGTGGGGAAAAAAACACACACACACACAAATACCAGTTGAGGTTCGAGGAAGTTCAGGGGAGTAGAAAAACTCTGAATGATATGGAACAAAGGAATTTATTGTATGGATTAGACCACACATGACTGTAGGAATTGGCGAGAGTTTTGGAAGGCTAGAATCTCTAGGTCTGGTGGTAGCTAAAAGTCCTCAGTGTCAATGAGTATAAAGAAGGGGTTTATACAGAAGAGAGAAAAACAAATTGGAAGGTATGAGGACATATAAGAATCTTCATCTTTTCATTTTCTCCAACTGTAACAAAGCAGGTGATAGCCATAAATGGGGAAATCTAAAACATTGTTCTTTCCAATGCTCTGCAAAGTCCACATCAGGATTTGTGCAACTAGTCAAGATGGGAAAAAGAAACCAAGATGAGTGTTTCAGTATGGGTACTGAGACTTCAGTATTAGTTCCAGTTCTCCAGAGAGACAGACCAAACATGAAGTTTGATCTATGGATCAATAAATGGTAGAAGACAGCGGATATATTAGGGGAACTGGCTGAGAAGTCTGATGCAGGTGTGCAAGTTGGTGACCATGGATGTCAATAGCATGCCTCGGTTAAAGTTCAAAATCTTCAGAAGCAGGGAAGCTGATGGTGCAACCAGCAGTCCAAGGCTGAAAGCCTGAGAACTGGTGGGGCAAAAGGGGTGGCTGGTATAAAACCTGTAATCTAAAGGCCAGAGAGCAAGGGGTTCTGATTCCAAGAGAAGGAGGAGAATACCGGTACAGCTCTTGTAGAGATCCTCTTTCCTCTGCCTTTTTTGTTCTATCCAGGCTCCCAGCCAATTGGGTGATGTCTGCTCACATTGAGTATAGATCTTCACCTTCGAGTGCACTGACTCACTTGCCAACATCCTCTGGAGACACCCTCACAGACATACCCAGAAATAATGCTGTTTTACCATGTCTCTAGGTATTCCTTAATCCAGCCCAGCTGACACCAAAAATTAACCATCACAACTTTAAATTCTTTGCCAGGAGTCTCTGGTGAATTCCTTGGCAACCACAGTATAGTATTCTGGTCTTTGCCTACTCTCATTTTCCCAGAGTACTGTTTTACAATTGCTTTTCTCCCTTCAAATCTTCAACATCTTTTCTCCTATTTTCACTTTCAGGCTTTACTCTTGTTTCTTACTTCATTGAGAAAACTGAGGTAAACAAAAGAGAGCTTGCACAAACTCACCTTCAACATTGTTCATCTATTTAATCTGTATTCTTATGATATCTTCCCTCTGGAAGCTGTACTCTTAAGGTTGAATCCTACAATTTCAAGTAATCCCACCCCTTTCCAGTATTCAGGGACACCATTCCAGCAATTTTGCCTTTCTTCTCCTAAATTATCAATTATTCTTTACTATAACAGTATCAGCATACATAATTTTGTCTCTTCCATCTTTAAACCAAAAGCAGAAAAACTTCTCTTTAATAAATCTCTGCAAGCTGCTACATTATATGTCTGTCCCCTTCACAGCAAACCTTCTTGAAAGAATTGTCTATATTCACTTTTTCTAAATCTTTCCTCCTATTCTGTCTGGAACTCCTTTAACTAGGCTTGAAACTCCATCACTCCAAACACTTACTCTTGTCAAGGTTTCATTTGTTGGAAGACAATCCATTATGGTTTTATAGTGGTTCTGTAGGTTTTGTGAGAAGAGACACTCTCATTACCCTGAAATATTTTTTAAGGATGTGTATGATTGTGTGTGTGTATGTGTGTAGAAACAACCTTAGTGGATCCTTCCAAGGTAAGAGTCAGGCAGGCTTCGTGCTCATTATATAACACTGTGTACTTGGGAACTCCTCTTCTCTTGGGTGACCCACTGCTACATATTTACCGCCTTGCTCTCTTTACGTCAGCCTGTGTGTTCTGGGGCTTGCAAACAACAAATGCTAAGACTACATAACCATGATTCATTTCTCTATCAAATTTCTGCACAAATTTCTCAGAGATGCTTGCAATGAACATATCACGAATTTGAAAGAACAACTATCATTCTCTTTATTTTTCTTACATTGCTCGGTTTTTCCCATAGAACTTACTATACTGTCTGTTTTACATTATTTATTTATTTTACTTATTTTTTTATCATCTGTCTTCCCCATCTTCTTAGGGACAGAAATGTTTTTCTACTTAGTTCACTGTGACCAAAATAGGAACTTGCACAAAATATTTGATCCAGAAATATTTGTTGAGAGAAAACACAGATTCATACCTAAGATTTTCTAAATTTCTACTACCAGCTTCCTCTGACTCTGGCAATAATATGCCAGTAGAAGGAACGAGTTTGCTGTTGTGAGATATCATAAATTCTTTAAGTAAGGATAGTGCTAAAAATCCGGCCCTCCCTGGACTGAGATGACCCACTCTCCTTTGCTTACAGACCATGAAGATGTGCTTCCATACAAGACAGCGTGTTACCTATCTCAAGATCTGTTTCTGTTCCTCACTTAACCTGTGAGTCTGTGTCTACTGTTAGGTTACAGAACAGTCCAGCTGGGGATGTGCTGACGGTGAATAGGAAGGAAAATGACTTTATCTCAAGAGTTGTGAGACCTTGTAAACTAGTGTCAGCAGAAGCCAGGAAAAGTGTGCACAGGATTGAACTCCGAGGGGCCAGTATGACTGGATAAGAAAAAAAAAATTACTAACTTGAGGCACTCTCCTAGAAGACTGGATTGAAAATTGGCAAAAGCCCAGGAAACAGTGCAAACTCACTGTTAGGTTGGCTCCCAAAAGTATAGAATAATCAATGGCTTATTTATACTAAGTGAATTAAAGTGCCAGATGTTGCTTTGGCAGAGGTAGAACATGTGTTTCAAGACAAAAAGAAGTGAACATGCTGGAGAGGATATGTTATATATAGCGAGAAGTTGTGCCAGATGATCATGTGCCTTGAGAGGACCCAGAGCATGAGCAATTTATCAGGGCTACGAAGAATATGCTCCTGAGAGAAGCACCCATTTCACTAATGTTAGTGATGCTGGCTTACCTCTGTACAGCAGGGCAACAAAGCAAGATTCTGGAACAATAGAAGGTACTTGCAGGTTCAACTGTAAGAAATTAGATATATGCAAATTTTATGTTGACTGGCAATGCAGAAGTGGCATACAGGAAAATGTAGTTTGTTGAAATGTTTAGTAATTTATTTTTTCATCTACTTGAAAGGCCGAGAGAGATAGACAGACAGACACAGAATCACTGATTCACTTCCCAAATACCTGTAATGGCCGCAGCTGGACACGCTGAAGTCAGGAGCCCAGAACTCCATCTCTGCATCTCATGTGGGTGGTAGGGACTCAACCACTTGAGCCATCATCTGCTGACTTTGCAAGACACATTAGCAGGAAGCTTGATTGGAAGCAGAGCACACAGCCCTTGAACCGGTGCTCTGATATGGCATACATGTGTCTAAATCAGCAGCTTAGCTCACTGCACTACAATGTCTACCCCAAGGTGGGCTATAAATTTAAATAGAATATGGTGACCTTTAAGGAAATATAAAACATAAATGAGTAGTAAACAAATATACTACTCAATCTGTACTATCACAACAAGCAAACAAACAATATCTAAAGTTGCGTGATGATTGAGAGCTATTTCTCTCATATAAAGCAATAATGTCTTTCCTAATTTCTGTACCTCAGGCAGTTTTTGGAGCTAGTTCTCACAGACTAAAGAAGATATGTCCCTCAAATAATCATGCTGCAAGGTGATGGCCAATAGCCAGTATTTGTGCTGTATTCGTTTTCTGTTGCTACTTATAACAAAATACATGATACTGGGTACTTTATAAAGAAACTAGGTAACTCACAGTCTTTGTTCAGCTCTTGTGAGGGCACCCTTGGCTGCATAACATGGTGGATGGTTTCATTGCAGAAGTGCATATGGGAAGAAGAGATCACATAGAGAGACAGAAAGCCACAGAATGGGGAGGGGCCAATCTTACTCTTTTATAACAACTTCTCTCATGAAAACTAACCAGGGTTTCATTAGAATTACAGCAATACCTTCTGAGGACAGCACCCCCATTAGCCTAGTGACCTTTCATTGGGCCCTACCTTTCTCGTTCCTTCACCTTGCATCATCACCACAAGGAGGACTAAAGTTCCAAACATGGGTCTTTGGGAAACATACTCAATCCATATTCGAACCGCAGCACTAGGCACAAGATTCCATCCTTCCCTAACGGGACCCATGGACATTTGTTTTGTATAGAATTATGCACCAACAGGAAAGGGAGTAAACAAACATTTTAAGGATGACTATTTGAGTTTTCTCTAATACTTGGAGACCAAAAGCATCATTATGAACCACTGCTAGAGTGGGATCATATACCGTGCATGTAGCAAGTGAAGACGTGGTCATGGTCCAGGCACAGTGGATCTGTTGGGTCTGTGAATTCACACCAAGTTTATTTTTATGGTTCCCTGTATATGTGTCTGTATACACACACACACACACACACACACACACAGAGAGAGAGAGAGAGAGAGAGAGAAGAGAAATAACTGATAGTTGGCAAAACACCAGCTTTGGGTTCTTTGTTGGAAAAGATTTGCTTAATTTGGGAAGTCCAAGTGGATGGCCAAGTGATGACCCACACCAGCCAAGAGAGAAATCAAAACAAATATCTTACAATGAAGGTGGCAAAACTTAATGCCATTATTAAACATTTAAAGGGCACAGAGGTGGTAGTTTCTATTATAATTCAATCAAATTTACTAATCCCGTTGCTCATGCAAAAGCCAGAATATTTCTAGAAAATGACTACCACCAACTCAACCAAACAGAAACTACAATTGTATCTGCTATAACATCCATGCTTTTCTTTGTTAGAAGAGGTTTATATGACTTCAAGGACATAGTGTGTGACTATTGATTTGGTGAAGAATGCTTTTCAATTTCTGTCTAAACAACAACAAATAGGTGGCAGTTACCCAGAAAGGACAATGGGGTGTTTCTGGGTTTTGCTGCAAGGCTACATTATCTATTTCAGCACTTGTCTTAATATAGTCCAAAGAGATTAATTCTGTTGGGACATTGTGCATGACATCACATTGATTTATTACATCTTTGAGATCATACAGATCAGATAGGTTGTGAAAATGGGTTAGAAACCTTGGTAGGAAGGTGGGAAACAAGCCCCATTGAAGCTTTAGGTGTCAGCTATGTCAGCAAAATTTTTAGAGGTATAGTGGTCAGAGGCGTGTTTATATATGAGTCACAGATAAAGGATACACAGTTACTTCTTTCTTCTCCTAGCATGGCAAAAGGAGTACAAAAAAGTACTCTTTGGGCTCTGGCCGCAGTATATTCCTATTTTGGAGAAGTTCTCCAGCCTGTATCTGGATGACACAAGTGCTCCCAGTCTTTAGAAGTACCCTACAAAGGATAGTGCTCTCTGGGAGGTCCATGCTATGTTATAGACTTGCCAGTACTTGAGCCATATAAAAATGACCTGGTAACCAATATGGTTAACCAAAGAGTGAATCACAAAATACTCTACTAGGTTTTCATATAAAGCTATATTTTTAGTTGATACCTCCATATTTTTTGAAAAGCATTTCTGTGCAAATTATGAAAAATGACCTATCAAAGAAATACTGACGTGTTAATGCCTGGAACCTATGAATGTCATGTTATAAAGTATATATAGTAAAGTCTTTGCTGATTTTATTAAGTTCTGGATTTTTAAAAGTATATATATACTTTATATATATATTTGAAAGTCAGGAAAGAGAACGAGAGAGAGAGAGAGAGGGAGAGAAAGAAAGAAAGTCTTCCATCAGCTACCTCAGCCCCCCAAATGGTTGCAATGGCTGGGCTAGGATGAATCCAGGAGCCCAGATAGTCCTCTGGGTCTTCCACATGGGTGGCAGGGACTCAACCCTTAAGCCATCACCTGATATCTCCCAGGACTGCAATATCAGGAAGATGGATTGGGAGCCAGGTACCCTGGATTTGAACCAGGCATCTGCCATGGGATGTGGGCATACCAGGCAGATTCTTAACTCATCATAGCATAACACCCATCACTTGAAATGAGGAAACTGTCCTGGAATATCTAGGTGGGTCCATAAATACAGAGGTGTCTTTAAAAAGGGAAGTAGAGGGATATTTGATCGTGAGAAGGAGATCACAATGTGACCATGGAGGCTAAGACTGGAATGTTGCAATCATAAACCGAGGAATGCTGGAAACGACTAGAATTTTGAAGAAGGAAGGAATAGATTCTTCCTTTGAGCTTGCTGATGAAGGACAGTCCTGTTTACAACTTTGTTTTGGCCCAGTGTAACAGATTTCAGAAGTGTAAATAAATAAAAGCATGTGCCTAGTGGCCATGTAGTCATTATGACCCATTTTGAGATGAATTCTGTTGGATCTATGAAATCACCACTGTTGGCCAGCCCTACATGAAAGTGGCGCACCTGGGGTAAGGCATCAATAGGACTGGAATGCACAGGCAAGGTGCACAGATATCCCAGAATCCATGCCATTTGCTGATGTTGGGCCAGCACCTTCCTTCAGCTGCTATGTATATATGGAGGATCTGTGAAGTAATCCTCAGCTTGGTTCATAAGTGAGCTGGCTTAAGAGATACAACTTGAAAGCAGACAGCAGTTGCAAAACTGGGAGTAGGACTGTAGTGCATGATGCCATGGCTGATTTACTTGTTCATTTATTTCGTAGGTAAAGAGAAGAGGTCAGTATTGAAGTATATTGCACAACTGGTTTGGAGGATTAGTGAGGGTTCAAAAAGGAACAAAAAACAAAGAAGAATGGGAAATCTGAATTAAAGGCCTGTGGTTGGACACAAGATGAGCACAAAATATGAATTATTGGATCATATGTTAATTCCCACCAGACAGCATCCACCAGGGACTAGGTAATAATTTGGCAAAAAGATCATTCCAACTGATTTTACATTGTTCTTTTCATCAGTCATGCCCAGCCACTGTCCATGACTAGAGTGGTCATGGGGTAGAGATGGAGGAGAAAAATGATTAATATTAATTTTGGTCTTGAGACCAACTACAGTGATGAGGTCTGTAATTTTTTCTATTAAGCTTTTTTTAAGTTAACCAAAAGAAAAAGTGGTCCATTGAGTTGTTGGAGGAGCTACGCTTAGAACATGTGTGAACTGTGGTAGCAAATGACACAGAGAATTACAACAGACATGGGATACGTTCCCCAGGTCCCTTCTACCCTAAACCACAGCCCTGAATAACCAACGGCAAGTGACTGATGTCAGGCTTCAGTGTAGCTGCTAGGAAAGAAACCTCTAGCTCAAGTCCCCCGTGGGGTTAGCTGAGGCTGGTGACGTCCTGCGTCAGAGCTCACTTTCTCTCTCTGTTCACTCTTGGCTCCTATCTCTCATCCTGTTCATAATGTTTCCCAGCCTCCATCTCAGTCTATTTCACAGGAATTCTCATCTACAATATATATCTTCAAACATCCTTTGATTAAAAGTGATAAAAAGCTGGAGCCGGCGCCGTGGCTCAATAGGCTAATCCTCCACCTTGCGGCGCCGGCACACCGGGTTCTAGTCCCGGTTGGGGCGCCGGATTCTGTCCCGGTTGCCCCTCTTCCAGGCCAGCCCTCTGATGTGGCCAGGGAGTGCAGTGGAGGATGGCCCAGGTGCTTGGGCCCTGCACCCCATGGGAGACCAGGAAAAGCACCTGGCTCCTGGCTCCTGCCAGGATCAGCGCGGTGCGCCGGCTGCAGCAGCGGCCATTGGAGGGTGAACCAACGGCAAAGGAAGACCTTTCTCTCTGTCTCTCTCTCTCACTGTCCACTCTGCCTGTCAAAAAAAAAAAAAAAAAAAAAAAAAAAAAAAAAAAAAGTGATAAAAAGCTAAGTACAGAAATCACTTGAATAAATTCATATTTTCTTGGTTTACATATATGAAGATAGTAGCAGTACATTTTATGACATACTACTTATTGTGCATTTAAAAACTACTTATAATAATTCTCTAGTCCAGTAGAGGTATATACCCATTGGTTAGCAGTCACTGAACTAGAGGTAGCTTATCTTTCCACAGGTATCAGATACATGGCTTCCACTTTTATGACCTGTTAGTTAAGATATTGCTCCAAGTCAGTAACACAATTCAGATAATAGATTCCTTGTCAGCCACAAGCAGCGAAGGAAGTCAGCCTCAGGTTTCACTGAGTGTATATAACAAGGGAAGAACCACAGAAAATGACAGAGCTTGGAAAAGACCATGAGGCCAACAGCAGCAGCAGAAAACAGAGCAGACAGAGCAGCGTGGGGAGCAGCAGGCCTGCATGGTGAGGTTATTCCTGAACAAAAATTTCAAGCATGTTATGAGTCTAACGGAAGAAAGTGCAAATAATATCATGTTGTGCAAACAGCAGCTGGACTTTTTTAAATCAAAGGTCAAACTTTCTGTGCTCAAATCACAGAGGTTATAGCATATTGATTGGCCTTTTCAGTGAAAAACAGCAACGTAGCTTTTCAGCCATGATAAAGTGCTATTTTGGAGATTATTCTTCCCATATCCAATTATAAATAAATGTCATAATTGGCCAGCTGATTAAGAAGGAAATTATATATTTTTTCAGGAGTAGAACATATCAGGTCCATGGTCTTTATAAGGTCCACAAAATCGTTTGGTCTAGCTCTGCCAAGGCAGCTGGAACAGGACATGAAATTCAAAAAAATCTATAGCAGGCTCATTTTTAAGTTTGTAATTGTGTATGGCCTGCAGATGATGTTAAACATATCCATATGACCCTTGGCAGAAAAAAGTTCCCCATCCCTCACAGATATAAAATTAATTGTTTTAACTGTTGGGTTCATTTTTTGGATTTAATTGTTTGGCACATTTCAATATATAATATCTTCTTTTTCTCACTGGATAGTTCAATCCCTGAGGGCAGAAAATATGTTTTAATATTAACTTTTAAATTTTATTTCACCTTTTTAGTGTTGTTCCAGCACCAAGCATTCAATAAATATTTGATGATTTATTTTTAAACTGATGTCTAAAAGTGAGGCTCATGCCATGTAATACAGAATCTGAGCCAGAAGAGTGGAATTTTTTGTTTTTTCAATCACTGTTATGACTTTTGAAAAGTTACATAACCACTCTAATTCTTATTCTTTTAATAACACTTACCTTGAAGAATTTTTGTAAGGATGAAAGGGTACATTTGTGAAGTATTTCACACTGTGAAGGAAATACAGAAGTTTAACAAATTAAACCCATAGTTATCTATTTTTATTTTTGTAACAAATTATCAGATTTGGCGAAGAAAGCAAAACATCACCATTAGATAATTGACTAATACATGTATTTCTGGATATTTTCCATATATAAGAATAAAATCACATAGAATATCATTAAGTGATACATTTTAAAATTACTAATTTGCATCTGAAATCATCTAAGAAGTCTCAAGTCAAATCTACCACTCATTGCATTATCCATAATTTCCCTAATGTGCATCTTCTAGTTCTTGTTTGAACATTTCCAGAAACAAGATTCTTACTATCTCATCTTTAGTTTCGGAGTAGCTGCTGAAGTTAGAATATTTCATCTTTAAAGTTAAAATGAATTAAGATCCTTGTGACTTTCCACTCACTGACTATAATCCTGACTCTGCAGCTGTATAGAAAAGTCTGTATTGTACAAACTCCTTACATAACAAAATAGAAATAATATGAATTCTAAAAGCCTAACATTAACCACTACATTAATAGTATTAGTTTGAACAGTGGTAAGTCACAAGACTTTAAAGGAGGCATGTCTTGAGCTGGTGCCAACTCCTATGGTGCCTCATATCGTCACTGGACCCAAATAGGGTTCACATCACCATTGTACCCAAATAGTGCTTAGATCATTCTCTTCTAGGCTCCTTGGTGCTCTGCCTTGTAAGCCCATAGATGGTAACCAAAAAGACTTCCAGGTGGTAAGTACTCAACAGATGCTTTACAAGTAAATGAGAAAAGAAGAGGCATTAGGTAGATTGGGAATAAAGGCATTTGAGGAAGCAGGAGCCACATACAAAAAAAACCTTGGAAACAGGAGAGTGCATAGTGATTGAGGTAACTCTTACACAGTTGGGTAGAATTAGGATATTAAAGTTGTACATAAAATAAATATACATCATTTGGACCAGCTATTACATGTAAACTACTTTAAATAGAGACTAGCATACAAAATGCTGTCATTAAATGTTTGCTATTAATTTAACTTGCTGGTAATTTCAGTCTGTGCTTGGCTAGTCTTCTTCAGCTATGTCTCTGAGTTGACAGGTTGAAGCTAAAAAACATGCAAGATTTCTAGAGCACATGCCAATAGTCCTAGTTCCCACTGCCTCTATGAATCAGCTAGAGAGAGCATAGCACAGAAAGGTAGGAGTCACTTCCCAAGGAGAGTTAGCCACATTTGCCATGGTGTATAAGCAGAGAGAAAAATATCCAATGGTTAGAGAGTAGGTCTGTAACTGTAGCTCATGTCTTAGGCAGGCAGGCCTTTGGGTAGTTTTGAAAAACTGGCTCTGATTAGTATCAAATCTAGCTAACAAGATTATGAGAAAAAGTATCTCATGCAACAGATCATTTTGGTGACTTTCCTTCATTTTGCTAAATAATGTAAAAAGAAGTATAGCTTTTGATGAATATAACCTTTATATTATATTTTAAAATATATTATTATATTTTAATGTTATTATTAAAATATAACCTTAGAGAAGGAAGAAACCATGACATCCACCTAGGTGTGTGCCTTGCTGAACTTGTGAGCCCTCACCTTCCTCCTTCATTTCTCATTAAGGGTTGCCCTCTGCAGGCTACATTTCCCAGGCTTCAGTATCAGTGGTACCATAGCTGGGTACAGCCCATGGGCAACACTGCTGGAAAACTGCAGGCTGGTGGTGATGGTGATGGGGCGGGGGGAGCAGGAGAGGTGAAGACTGCTGTGTTTCTCCTACTCCCTTACCTTAGGTAGGCTTTGCTTGGAGCTATAACGTCTCTGTGACTCTAGCTTCTAAGGATTATCCTGCAAGGACTTTGGCTTCCTCTGGATGTAACTGTCTCTTTCCCGCCCTCTAGCAACAGTGCTTCTTTTCTTTCTCTTTTTGGCCTCGGGATGCTGATGGGAATTGTTCCTGATATTTAACATCACTCACTATCACCTGCTTTTCTGGCCCTTCCAAAGTTCACACTAAAACACACACAAAAACTCGAACAAATTACTTTTGTTGTAAATACTTGTGGAGGACTCTGTCTTTTCAAGTACATGTTTAAATTTAAAAAATTGATTTGAAAGAGAGAGAGACAGATGAATAGACAGAGAATGATCTTCCATCAGCTGGTTCTGTCCCCACATGCTCAAAATAGACAGGGATGTGCCAAGCTGAAGCTGTGGAACTAAGAACTCAATCTATGTCTGCCATGTGAGTGACCAGGATCCAATTACTTGCATTGTTACCTGCTGTCTGCCACAATGTGCATTAACAAGAAGCTATAATCAGACACAAAGTCGAGACTTGAACTCAGGAACTCTAACATGGGATGTTAACATCCCAAGTGGTGTTTTAACCACTGTGCCAAACACCCACCCTGTCTTCCTAAATAAAGTATTAATTCTAGTAAAATAACAAAGGGTAGATTAGATTACAAGATAGCTGCATAGCAAAAAAAAAAAAAAATGCTGCAATATGGCTGCATAGGAAAAAAACATGGAAGATAATAAGAACAAGTAGAGGAAGTACATTTCCAGGGGAGAGTGGGGACATTTACAGTTGAAATTCTACAGAAAGAAGAGAGACACCTTGGAGCAGCATGGACAGTCAAACACGCAGAAGCAAGTACGGATACCATCTGTGACTTCCATAGCTGGGGGCTGGGGGCTGGAGGAGATGCCATCTCTGAGCAGGAGATGTGAGCAGCCTGTGGTAGCCCATGTCACCAGTGAAACTCCTTCAGGGAGAACCCTGTGGGCCACAATGAATTTGAGTGTGACCTGGAGTGCTAGTAGGGGCAGGCGGCCCAACTAACCCTGTGAAAGAAGCGCACATTTCTTTCTCCCCATATCTCCCACAAGAGTGCCCATGTGACCGGAAGGAAGAACGCTCTATCTTAACGCAAGTAGAGGTTGCGGCGGCTCACATGCACGGGGGACTAGGGAATTTTACATGAGGGATAAATCCACATTCTCCACTGACTTCCAGTCTGGACTGGAGGGTTCGCAGGGGGCTCGGCACCTCATAGAACTATGAGGCATCACATTCCCCCACTCTATCACAGGTCCCCAGGATCAAATTGCCACAGTGTGGCAGCCATGGTCAGCTGGCCCTGGGAATACCTCTGATCTCTCAGTGGATGGGGCAGGACTGAGAGTGGATCCGCTGCACTCTGTGACTGTGGGAGCCACATAGCCTTGTGTACTATGACTGTGGGGATTCTGTGACTGCATGACAGGTGTGGGTGTGGCTGGGTATCTGGGCAGTCACTGTGACTAACTTCAGAGGCTCAGAGTTCCCCGATTGCCTGCTGGGGCTCATTGCAGAATCTGCCCTGCTCACACTGAGGACAGCACGGGTGCTTTCTGAGGTTCAAGGGCCTGTGGGGGTGGGGGCTGTAAACATGGGCTCTAACCCCAGGGAACTGATCACCTTGGAACAGAGGTGGTGAGGCTGTGATTATACCAGCACTCATGACAATACACTTCCCACTGACAACGATAGAGGAGATCTACCACACCCAACTTGGGTGTCACCCTGTACTCCTGCTCCACCCTGAGCACAGATTAGAACTCCTGGGCCCCACCAATCACACAGCTCTGGATATCCACTGAAGGAGCAGACATGTCACTAAGCCACACAGGCATAGTTCAGAGAAAACAGCCATCAGAGGAGAAAACCTACAAGTGTTTCAACAAATGCCTAAAAATAAATGCTGAAATATAAGAAACAAGAAAAAGGAAGACACTATGACTCACCAAAAGCAACACACCAACACTTCACGACCCTTCCAACAAAGAAAAGATCAGGACCAGATGGCTTCACTACTGAATTCTACTAAACTTTTGAAGAACTGACTCCAATTCTTCTCAAACTATTCAAAATATTTGAAAGGGAGGGAATCCTCATGGACACCTACTATGAGACCAGCATCATCTTAATTCCAAAACAAAAAAAGATGCAATAAAGAAAGATAACAATAGGACAATATTGCTGATCAACATAAATGCAAAAATTCTCAACAATGTACTAGCTAATTGAATCCAATAGCAAATCAGAAAAACCATTCACCTGGACCATCTAGGATTTATCCTTTGTATGCAGGGTTGGTTCAACATATGCAAATCAATAAATGTGATACATCACAATAACAAATTAAATAAAATTATATGAATATTCAAATAGATATAGAGAAAGCATTAGGTAAAATAAAACATCCTTTCATGATAGAAACATTAAACAAATTGGGTATTAAAGGAACATTCCTTAACACAATCAAAGAAATACATGACAAACCCACAGTCAGCATCACATTGAAAGGGGAAATGTTGGAAACATTTCCACTAAGATCTGGAACCAGAAAAGGATCCCCACTCTCACCATTTCTATTCAATATAGACCTAGAAGTTTTAGCTAGAACCATTAGGCAATAAAAATAAATCAAAGGGATACAAATTAAAGAGGAATAAGTCAGCTTATCCCTTTTTGCAGATGATATGATTCTATATAGAGAGGAAGCAAAAGATTCTACTAAAAGACTATTGGAGCTCATGAGATAGTAGGGTAAAATTGCAGAATATAATATCAACACACAAAAATCAATATTCTTTGTATACACAGACAATGTCATGACTGAGAAAGAACTTGTAAGGGCAGTCTCATTCACAACAGTTTCAAGAATGAAATACTGTCTTTTGCAACAAAATGGATGCAACTGGAATCCATTATGGTTAGTGAAGCAAGCCAGTCTCAAAGGATGAATATCATATGTTTTCTCTGATATCTGTTATTTTCTCTGATATTGATAGTCACAGTTAATGTATAATACCAAAAAATACATAGGAATGCAATTGTCATTTTGGGATATGATTATGGTTTTTACCCCTTGTTTATACACATGTGGAATTGTAGCCTGCCTACTTTTTATTTCTTGAATATTATGATTAGAATTAAGCTTTAAAATAAACTAATGTAAGAGAGA